TGCAAATATCTTCTCCCATCCTGTGGGTTGCCTCTTTGTTTTGTTGACTGTTTCCTTTGCTGTGCAGAAGTTTTTATCTTGATGAAGTCCCCAAAGTTCATTTTTGCTTTTGTTTCACTAGCTTTTGGAGATGTATCTTGAAAGAAGTTGCTGTGGGCGATGTCAAAGAGGTTACTGCCTATTTTCTCCTCTAGGATTTTGATGGACTCCTGTCTCACATCGAGGTCTTTCATCCACTTTGAGTTTATCTTTGTGAATGGGGTTAGAGAATGGTCGAGTTTCACTCTTCTGCATGTGGCTGTCCAATTTTCCCAGCACCATTTATTGAAGAGACTTTTTTCCATTGCGTGTTTTTTTCGTGCTTTGTCAAAGATTATTTGACCATAGAGTTGAGGGTCCATATCTGGGTTCTCTATTCTGTTCCATTGGTCTATATGTCTGTTTTTGTGCCAGTATCATGCTGTCTTGGTGATCACAGCTTTGTAATATAGCTTGAAATCAGGCAACATGATACCCCCAGCTTTGTTTTTCTTTTTCAACATTTCCTTGGTGATTCGGGGTCTTTTCTGATTCCACACAAATTTTAGGATTGTTTGTTCCAGCACTTTGAAAAATGCCATTGGAATTTTGATCGGGATGGCATTGAAGGTATAGATTGCTCTGGGCAGCATAGACATTTTAACAATGTTTATTCTTCCGATCCATGAGCATGGAACATTTTTCCATCTTTTTGTACCTTCTTCAATTTCTTTCATGAGTGTTCTGTAGTTCCTAGAGTATTGATCCTTTACCCCTTTGGTTAGGTTTATTCTGAGGTATCTTATGGTTTTGGGGGCTATTGTAAATGGAATCGTTTCTCTAATTTCTCTTTCTACAGTTGCATTATTAGTGTATAAGAAAGCAACTGATTTCTGTGCATTGATTTTGTATCCTGCCACATTACTGAATTACTGGATGAGTTCTAGTAATTTGGGGGTGGAGTCTTTTGGGGTTTCCACATAAAGTATCATGTCATCTGCGAAAAGAGGGAGTTTGACTTCTTCTTTGCCAATTTGAATACCTTTTATTTCTTTTTGTTGTCTGATTGCTGTTGCTAGGACTTCTAGTACTATGTTGAACAATAGTGGCAAGAGTGGGCATCCTTGACGTGTTCCTGAGGGAAAGGCTCTCAGCTTTTCCCCATTGAGGATGATATTCGCTGTGGGTTTTTCATAGATGGATTTTATGAACTTGAGGAATGTTCCCTCTATCCCTATACTCTTGAAGAGTTTTAATCAGGAAAGGATGTTGTATTTTGTCAAATGCTTTTTCTGCATCAATTGAGAGGACCATATGGTTCTTCTCCCTCCTCTTATTAATGTGTTCTGTCACATTGATTGATTTGCAAATGTTGAACCACCCTTGCATCCCGGGTATAAATCCCACTTGGTCGTGGTGGATGATCCTTTTAATGTATTGTTGGATCCTATTAGCTAGGATTTTGTTGAGGATTTTGGAATCCATATTCATCAGGGATATCGGTCTGAAATTCTCCTTTTTGATGGGGTCTTTGCCTGGTTTGGGGATTAAGGTAATGCTGGCCTCATAGAATGAATCTGGAAGCTTTCCTTCTGTTTCTATTTTTGAAACAGCTTCAGTAGAATAGGTATTATTTCTTCTTTGAATGTTTGGTAGAATTCCCCAGGGAATCCAGCAGGCCCTGGACTCTTGTTTTGGGGAAGTTTTTGATCACTGCTTCAATCTCATTACTGGTTATTGGCCTATTCAGGTTGTCCATTTCTTCCTGTTTCAGTCTTGGCAGCTTATAGGTTTCCAGGAAGGCCTCCATTTCATCCAGATTGCTCAGTTTATTGGCATATAGTTGTTGATGATAATTTCTAATAATTGTTTCTATTTCCTTGGTGTTAGTCGTGATCTCTCCACTTTCATTCATAGTTTTATTAATTTGGGTCCTTTCTCTTTTCTTTTGGATAAGTCTGGCCAGTGGTTTATCGATCTTATTAATCCTTTCAAAGAACCAACTTCTAGTTTCATTGATCTGATCTACTGTGTTTCTGGTTTCTAATTCATTGATTTCTGCCATCCCACCCTGAGCATGCCCGATCTTGTCTGCTCTAATTTTAATTATTTCTCTTCTAATGCATGGCTTAGGCATCGTTTGTTGCTTTTTCTCCAGTTCTTTAAGGTGTAGAGTTATTTGGTGAATTCGGGATTTTTCTATTTTTTGAGTGAGGCTTGGATGGCTATGTATTTCCCCCTTAGGACCACCTTTGCAGTATCCCATAGGTTTTGGACCAATGTGTTTTCGTTCTCCTTGATTTCCATGAATTGTTTAAGTTCTTCTTTGATTTCCTGGTTGGCCCAAACATTCTTGAGCAGAGTGGTCTTTAGCTTCCAAGTGTTTGAATTTCTGCCAAATTTTTTCTTGTGATTGAGTTCCAGTTTTAGAGCATTGTGGTCTGAGAATATGCAGGGAATAATCTCAATCTTTTGGTATCGGTTGAGACCTGATTTGTGACCCAGTATATGGTCTCTTCTGGAGAAAGTTCCATGTGCACTCGAGAAGAAGGAGTATTCTGTTGTTTTAGGGTGGAATGTTCTGTAAATATCTATGAGGTCCATCTGGTCCAATGTATCATTCAAAGCTCTTGTTTCCTTGTTGATTTTCTGCTTAGATGATCTGTCCATTGCTGAGAGTGGAGTATTGAGGTCTCCTACAATTAACGTATTGTTATCAATATGACTATTTTGGTTAACAGTTGGCTTATGTAGATGGCGGCTCCCATGTTGGGGGCATAGATATTTACAATTGTTAGTTCTTCTTGTTGGATAGATCCTTTAAGAATGATATAGTGCCCTTCTGTGTCTCTAACTACAGTCTTTAGTTTAAAATCTATTTTGTCTGATATAAGAATTGCTACCCCAGCTTTCTTTTGAGGTCCGCTGGCATGGAAGATGGATCTCCACCCCTTCACTTTCAGTCTGGATGTATCTTTAGGTTCAAAATGAGCCTCTTGTAGGCAGCATATGGATGGGTCCTGCCTTTTTATCCAATCTGCAACCCTGAGCCGTTTTAAGGGAGCATTTAGGCCATTCATGTTGAGAGTGATCATTGAAAGATATGAATTGATTGTCATGTTGCCTGTGAAGACGTTTTTATAGATTGTCCCTGTAAATTTCTGTTGTATATCACTCTTGGGGTCTTTCTCCTTTTACAGAACCCCCCTTAATATTTCTTGCAGGGCCCGCTTAGTGGTCACATTTTCAGTTTCTGCCGGTTGTGGAAGCTCTGCATCTCTCCATCCATTCTAAATGACAGCCTTGCCGGATAAAGTATTCTTGGCTGCATGTTCTTCTCATTTAGTACCCTCAATATGTCTTGCCAGGCCTTTCTGGCTTGCCAGGTCTCTGTGGATAGGTCTGACGTTATTCTGATGTTCCTCCCTCTGTACGTAAGGAATCTCTTCCCCCTAACTGCCCTTAAGAAGGTTTCCTTGGTTCTAAGATTTGCAAGTTTTACTATTACATGCCGGGGTGTTGGCCTGTTTTCCTTGATCCTGGGAGGGGTGCTCTCTGCCTCTAGGATGCGAATGTTTGTTTCATTCCCCAGATTAGGGAAGTTCTCAGCTACGATTTGCTCAAATACATCTTCTAGTCCTCTCTCTCCACTCCCTCTGGGATTCCAATTATTCTGACACTGGAACGCTTCATGGTGTCACTTATGTCTCTGATTCTATTTTCACGGCTTCTAAGTTGTTTTTCCCTGGCATTAAAATTAATTCAAATCTGCTAGTCAAAAGCCATATTAGGATAAATAATAAATGAAATTTGGTTTTGGCATATTGGTCCTGGCTGAGATATGTATCTCATTATTGGGGTGCTTTATTTCTGATCTTCCATAGGATCTGGGAAAAGTTATCATATAGTCAGAACCCTCATGGATTCACTTTCATTGAGTTTGGTTACATACTTAGAACTATCCAATCATCATCACAATAACTAGTCATATGAAATCCCTTTGAGTGTAATGTTATGAAAAATGTTCTCAATAATTTTATATTCTATCAGAGGTCACAAATTAGTGACCCCAACCAGCAAATATTTTAAAGATCTTTTCTGGTATTTGCCAACATTTGTAATTAGAAAAATTTATGCACACATGGGCATACATACTTCCTCATTTTAGTGACCCATAACTACAAAATGAATTGACAGCTGATTAGCAACTACTCCTTTTAGGTGAGAGTGGTCCACAGTTCCTAGGACTCTCTAGGGTCTTAAACCTGATGCATTTATCTACATTACATTACCTGACAGGTTCCTGTAGGTTTTTACATTTTTTAACTGTAGGTATAATGCCAATTTGAAAAATTGTGTTTGTTTGTTTTTTGTATAGTTGATACATGTTACATTATTTTCAGGTGTACAACATGGTGACTCAACTCACCATAAGTGTAGCTACCATCTGTCAGCATACAATACTATTACAGTACCATTGACTATATTCCCTATGCTTTACCTTTTATTTTAAATTGTGATGACAAGGTCAAGTTTACCTTGTAGAGGAAAGAAGGTGCTTCTTTCCTGGCAAAAAACCCATATAACATCTTGTATTAATTATTCAGAAGCTCAATACCAAATATGTAGTCAACCATATATGCTAGCATTGTATATGTATATTCTTTTTAAAAATCCCATCTTTCATTGTTCATATATTTTTAAATTCTATGGAAAAAATACTTTAAATCCTGTTTTCAAAATGAGTACACATTTTAAAAAGAGGAAACATTACCTACACTCTATATAAGAATGACTCAAGTACAAAGAAAACAATGAAATATTATACATTAAAAGGATATTTTATTTGGGGGTTATATTAATTCTTTAGCTAAGAAGACATAATACTCATAAGGAAAGATAAAATAGAATTTGAGCTCAGCTACTATCCATAAAATGATTGTCAACATTTTTTTTATAAGACAGCTAAAAAGTCAAGCGCATAATTTTCAAGAATGTACTTTAATTAAATATAACACCAAATTTTCAAGTAAGAATTTAGCAGCCTTGCAGTTAACTTTTTACAAGAAGCCCGAGATTAGACTGCTCTATTTTAATATTAATGGCTTAATAGACTGCCACATGGCTAAGGAATCTAAGTAATTAAAAAACAATACATAGAATGGCAGCATTCAATAAAAACAAACTTACTACATCCAAAAAACATTCTGACACCCTACCCTTGGGTGACTGTGTTTAAATATATAAATTTCTAAACCTTACTGCATTTATTGCAATTGAATTTCTTCTAGGTATTTTTCTCTTTTGTATCTGATAGTTTCAAAATCAGGGTAAAGATCACATTACATTAGACATTATTATCAAATTGTGTTTTCATAATGGCTTTTTAAAAACTGACTCACACTTTTATGCATGAACATAATTATAATTAATATATTTTAAATGTAATTGAATAGCTAAAGAGTCACTTTATTTCATGTTATTTATAATCTTTGCTCAGATTAACCAATTCTTTCAAAAAGTCAAAAACAAAGCATGAAGATACAATCATATACCATAGGTTAAATTATATATAGAATTATCTAACCATAGTACAGCATTGCCTTCTGTCATGAAGTACTTATTTCATGGGGTAGTTTCTGAAAGGCTCTTTAACTTTATGATTAAATTTATGGCTAATTTTTAATATAAATTGAGAAACTTTAAGACACTTTTAAATGAAGTCTAGAACATCCAAAATAGTGCTACTATGTTTTAACTTCACTAAATTTTAGATCTGTGACCATTTACTTACTAGTTCTTTATTTTTTCTTTTGATATCATAACTTATGTAACAACAGAAACTAACCACATTTAAAAATGTTCCTCTCTTCATTGATGAAATATAATAGCACTACTGCTAAGTTCTTTGATTGGACTACAGTGAGTCTCTGTAAAGTAATTAAGCCAATGTAGCACTTGAATTCTCAAGAATAATAATCTAATAGGAAGCATACAATAACAATTAGACTTTATGTGGATATATAACAAAGTCAGCATAAAATTTTATCTGAGCTAAAAAACTTTTTTGCTTGTGGCTAGGTCTATTTTCCATTTTGAAATTACAGATATTTATAAAAATAACTGGAATTTTTCTAGTCATAAATAGTATTGCTTCTATACTATGGGACATAAGGGTGTTCGACCTTAATTCAAAATTTAGATACAGACTTTCAAGAGCTATTTCTGTAGGCACTACAGAGTTCAGGAACAGTCATCATGTTTAACTAATCAGTTTGAAAAAGTGATGGTTATAAATTTGGTAGATTCTCTGGTGGCTTGTTAGGGTAAGATCTCCCAAAGGAGTTAGAGCTAACGTATGATTATGCCCAAAGAATAAAAAAATAAAACATCTCTGCCCCCACACCCCCAAAAACCTTTGTTTTTTGTGTGTGTTTAACAAATTTACAGATTTAAAAATGTATATACAGTTAAAGATACAGACTTTGTAAGTGCTACATATCTCAAATATTTCATAAATAGAAAGGGACACATTTTTATACCTAAGATACACTATTTCATGTATGCTTTTATTAAATGAAAGTTAATTACTCCATATAACAAAATAGTCTTTTACTTTTAAAACAGAAAATAGTTAACGTACAACTTAATATTAGGAACAGTAAAACAGGTTGTTTTCTATACAGTCAAAACAGACTGATTAAACCATAAAAGAATTGTGATTCATGCATTGCATATACTACACTAACAGTTTAAATTAGGCAATCAGTTCTTTGCTTTTACTTGTGATAATGATCTAAAAAGTCAAATGATAAAGGCAACTGTAATGAATACCTGAGGAAGATTTATGAAATGAGATAATTCCTCCTAGTTTTTAAAACAGGCAAAAAGACACAGATTTTCATATAATTATAAATTCTTAAACCATTATGAGTTCAGATTCCAAACAAACATTCTTCCCTTGAGAACAAATTTGTTTTATCTTACTTTGAAATCTGATCATTACTGGCTGGTTGGAGTAATGTGTTAGGAACCACAACAAAATTCAGAGGTAAAGAGTGCTGTAGTAGATTATCTATGTCTGCAGTGGGAGCAAGATAGAAAGTGGTAGTATTCGCATTGAGTATTTGTTGACCTTGTTTTTATTCTCTTAATCTCAGAACTATTTCATAAAATTTTCTGTCACGGTAGGTTCAAATATACAGTATAAGCAATTATAAGAACTCCTCTGTAGTAGTAATTTCTCTAAATTTAATAAAATACGGTAAAAGTGATTATTAGGAATAAACTCTAAATGTGTCATGCCTATGATAACATAGAGTGGCCAAATGGATATAAGAAAAAAAAAAATCCACAGGTTATATTGTATGAATGTTCCTATGAAGAGTCTTGGTTATATCATTATAGTGATTTAGTCTCATAACTTCCTCTAGAAAGTAGTTTACTACTATTGTTCTAATTTCTCAAGGCCTGATCATTCTCTGAGAAATGGCAAATTCTTAAGTTATAAATAAGTTTAACATTAATCATGCCTCTTTTCAAAGAAAAGATTTTTACTTCAAAATCACTGGCTAAAATAAATTTCATCACCTGATGGGCTATGTTATGATAAATTCTACGGTTGCTTTATTTCTGAATGAATATCTCTAAGACCTGAAGTTTTTTTTTTTTTTATCAGTGGGAAATTACTTGTTTTTTTTTGTTTGTTTTTATTTTATTCTTATGTTAATCCCCATACATTACATCATTAGTTTCAGATGTAGTGTTCCATGATTCATTGTTTGTGCATAACACCCAGTGCTTCATGCAGAATGTGCCCTCCTCAATACCCACCACCAGGCTAACCCATCCTCCCACCCCCCTCCCCTCTAGAACCCTCAGTTTGTTTTTCAGAGTCTATCGTCTCTCGTGGTTCGTCTACCCCTCCGATTTCCCCCGCTTCATTCTTCCCCTCCCGCTACGTTCTTCTTTTTTCTTAACATATTTTGCATTATTTGTTTCAGAGGTACAGATCTGAGATTCAACAGTCTTGCACAATTCACAGCGCTTACCAGAGCACATACCCTCCCCAGTGTCTATCACCCAGCCACCCCATCCCTCCCACCCCACTCCCCACTCCAACAACACTCAGTTTCCTGCAATTAAGAATTCCTCATATCAGTGAGGTCATATGATACATGTCTTTCTCTGTTTGACTTATTTCACTCAGCATAATACCCTCCAGTTCCATCCACGTGGTTGCAAATGGCAAGATCTCATTCCTTTTGATGGCTGCATAATATTCCATTGTATATATATACCACATCTTCTTTATTCATTCATCTGTCGATGGACATCTTGGCTCTTTCCACAGTTTGGCTATTGTGGGCATTGCTGCTATAAACATTGGGGTGCACGTAGCCCTTCAGATCCCTACTTTTGTATCTTTGGGGTAAATACCCAGTAGTGCAATTGCTGGATCATATGGTAGCTCTATTTTCAACTTTTTGAGGAACCTCCATACAGTTTTCCAGAGTGGCTGCACCAGCTTGCATTCCCACCAACAGTGTAGGAGGGTTCCCCTTTCTCCGCATCCCCGCCAACATCTGTCGTTTCCTGACTTGTTAATTTTAGCCATTCTGACTGGTGTGAGGTGGTATCTCATTGAGGTTTTGATGATGCTGAGCGATATTGAGCACTTTTTCATGTGTCTGTTGGCCATTTGGATGTCTTCTTTGGAAAAATGACTAAGACCTGACGATTTATATGTATTATTGTTTAATATTGCTTCTCTTTAGTAAATAATTTAAGAAATAATACTCTTGTAATAGCATATATATATTTTATAGTTCTAGTTAACTATAAGAACTGAAGGATAACATATACTCTATTAAAGAGATTTATTTTTAGCATAGAGGTGGATTAATTTGTCACAATATGACAACTGATCACAAGTATTGAATCTGATAGATACCATGAAAGTATAATGTTTTTACATGGGGATATATTGCCTTTTAAACGAGATTATTGCCATCATTGTGTTAAATTCATTCCTGAAGTTTGACTTTTAAGTTTAAGATATAAAAGAATTTTCATTTCCATGTTCCTAAGATGCTAAGTAAATTTTCTCTATTTATTTTGGTAAAAGTAGCTTAAAATATTAAGGAAATCCAATGATAGGTACGGAAGAAAAAGGTTGATACTAACAGTTGGTCTCTGATTAACAAGTTAAAAATTGACAGGTTATCCAAAAACTGATATTTTGGGCATTCTGTCTTCATAATTATGAACCAACTATGTTTTCTTAATAGAGAAGCATGAAAGAACTTTCCACAGCTTCTAGTATCTGGAATTCAGCACTGTAAAGCAGATACATTAGACATGCAAAACACCTAGCATGCTATATGTAATCAAAAAAATCCTCAAAGGATGATGCATATTGTGCTGTAGAAAGCAGGCCTTCCTAACACAATGTGATTCACAGTAAGGCTTAAGTTATGATTTCATTTTCCTTAAGAATTTTTATTGGAGACTTTATGACTCTGGATGACTGAATTATTGGAAAAAAATCTAAATGAAACATGTACACTATCTTCTAGGTCTTATTTTCTTCATTAGACATATTAAATATACACAATCTATTTCTTTGAGCCCAGAATACAAGAAGGATTTAAGTAACACAAACATTTTTGGGTGAAATAAAAATTAGTAGCAAAGTAGAATTTCAGTCAGAAATTCAGCATATTATGCCACAGGGAATGTAATTTGCATAATCTTTCTGATATTTTTTCAGTGCAGCATTGTGAAGGGTGGCAATGATGATATTACCCTTTTTTTAAAAAATACAAATTCTTTTTATTATGGGGATAACTACCAACTGGTATATACTTAAAAGGTACTTACTAAAATTAGGTGATTTCTATAATCATTAATGCATTAAGAAACAGGCAGCTTCTGATCTAATGCGTAAGTTGCTCTTTCCTTACTGTATTTTTCAGACCACCTGCGAGTTAGTTCTAGATAAAGACTTGGTTTATGAGGCCGGTAATCCAGGTACAATGTACTACCGGTTCTTTTGGGAATAGCTTTTTCAATCTGAGTTCCTTCATGCCACTCATTGAAAGAGGTGATAGAAATCACACTGGGGTGGGCATGGAGTGCAGCACCCAGAGCAGTTTCATAGTACTTCCCGCTGATTCGGTTTCGAGTGTTTTGAGCATTCCATGGGCGGATGCTGGTATCTATATATCCCGGGCCCACACTTGGGATAAACAATAGGTTGAACTGGTCACAAAACAATTTTATCCTTGCCCAATTCTCATATGATGAGCCATAAGTAAAGCCATTTGTGGCAAAATATGTGTAAATTCCATCAAAACCAGCTTGTAGAATATCATATCTATGTTTGCTTTCTACTAGAAGTGCAATAAACAGTGCATCATAAGGAGAATTGCGGATGCTCTGAGACCCTGTGGTGGTTAACAAATTGGCCCATTTTTCAGGCTTTGTGATATAGGAATCATAGATATAAAACATAGGAAGAGTAGTGCCGGTCTTAGTCTTGTACCTATAAAAGGCCGGATGATTTCCATATCTAGAATACAAAAATACATAGAAGTGAATATCTGTAACTCATTTTCCACAGACAATAACCGTTTCTATACTGAAAATGAAAGTAATCAGTGCAGTTTAAGCACATTGTTCACTTTCATATTAAGGGTAATCATTAAAAATGCATTTTCAATTTTGCAGATAGGAAAATTGAGATACTGGATACATCAAGACATGGTGTTGGTCATCATTTGTAAACCTCAGTATAAAAAGCCCGTTTTCTATATGAATAATGTCTCACTGTTGCTGACAAGTTTCTTTTTAAGAGTACAGTATCTGTCACGGGTTCTTATCAGTAAAATCCTTGAACAAAATTTATATATAAATGAAAATATTAGATGTGGGTCCACAGATATAAAAGCATTTCACATTTCATAATTTAAAAAGACAAAACTGTATTCGTGATTTATAGAATATCAATTTAAAATGTCAGCCAACAAATCATAAATAGCTTATTAAACAATCTATACAGAAAGCAAATCATAAGGAATTTCAGAAATGTTCCTCAAAATGATTATTCATTACAAAATTTTATCTCAGACCATAAGTCATTCAAATCTCAAAACAATTGGGTCGTAAAACAGTAATTATAAACACAAGAAACTCACTTGTCTATAATATATTTGACATTTTTGTACATGTTTTGATCATCTCGATTGCTATATGGTTCGATGTGAAAAGTGACCTAAAACAAAAAAAGATTAGAGAAAAAATTATGTAAAAATGAAAGTGTATTTCATATTTTTAATAATTTAATCTTATTTATGTTCAAGAAGTATTCATCCTAAATTAACAGCGAGTTCTAGCAGAGAAAGCTCCTAGTTAATGTTACTGTGAAATAATATGCTCATCTGTTTATACTTTTTACCTCCGTTCTCACAACTCCCTTAAGGTAGTTACTAAGTGAGGCAGACTGTTGGAGGCAAAATAAGCGATCAGAATTCAGAACTCAAATGTTCAACCACTATGCAGTACTTCTTCCTATATGTTTATTTCTTATAAAGAAAAAATAGGGATATATTCTACATCCAGACATGTTTCTTTAAAAAGAACATGGTCCAGAAAAATCTGGATTCTTTTCCCAAGTGTGACCAACAGCAAAATTTTTTTTTTTTTTAAGATTTATTTATTTGAGAGAGAGCGGGCACATACCAGTGTGGGGAACAGACTCCTCACCTAGCGAGGAGACTGCCTAGGGGCTGGATCCCACCACCCTGAGATCATGACCTGAGCAGAAAAGCTTAACTGAGCTACCCAGGCTCCCCAATAGCAAAGTCCTCTATCATTAAAATACCATTTCACAAAATAATCTACATTTAATGTGTAAGAGTACTCAAAGAATTTATCACAAAATTACTGGAAAAATAATACCCACTAGTACCATGAAGTCTTCTTATTGATATGGTTTATAGATCTCTACCATAACTGTAGAAAGCAGTAACCAAAAGTATTTTTTTTTAAATACTGTGCACAGAAGATTCATTTTCAGCTTATATATAAATCAAAAACTGATTATGGCTAGTAAAACCATTTTGTGTGATACTTCAAACTAGTAGTGTAGATTGTCACTTAGATCTGTAAATCAAATAGGAGATTTTGCACTTTTATTACTAACTTTAACTGACTTACCAGTAGCCATTAAACATCTTGATGACCATCTAATAAACATCTTGATGTTATTCTAATCTTAGGGTTTAGTCTCTATGAAGCAGGTATGGAATTAGAAACTTCTATGCTACTGCAATATAAAATGCCTTTGTTTTGGGGCCACCTGGGTGGGACAGGTGACTGAGCAGCCCACTCCTGGTTTCGGCTCAGGTCATGATCTCAGGGTGGTGGCATTAGCCTGCCTGGGCTGCTGCTCAGCGCACAGTCTGCTTGGGATTCTCTCTCACTCCCCCTGTGCCCCTCCCTCTCTAAAATAAATCCATCTTTAAAATGCTTTTGTTTTCAATTACCCAATTAAAGTAAAATGAATAAATAACAAATATGAGTACTATGAAAAATAATAAAATGGATTTTACTAGTCACAGAATTTTAAAGTCAGACAGCATTTAGTGAAAATATTCCCTACTTTGTATAATATTATTGAAATCTCATTTTATTAAAAGGAAGTTTTATCAGTAACAATCAATTCTGTATATTTAAGTACTGCTAGGACAGTCATAGTTTTCAGTAGCTCTAGTATTTACTTTTTTTTTTTTTTAAAGACTTTATTTATTTGACAGAGAGACACAGTGAGCGAGGAAACAGAGGGAGAAGCAGGCCTCTCGCAGAGTGGGGAGCCCGATGTGGGGCTCGATCCCAGGACCCTGGGATCATGACCCGAGCCGAAGGCAGACGCTTAACGACTGAGCCACCCAGGCACCACTAGTATTTACTTTTTAACTTCAAGTGAAAGCAGAATGGCAAGGGTATAGGTATTTTCATGTTCCTATATAATGTTACCTTGGCTAATTCTCCCTTTAGATGGAATGTTGTATTTTCTAAGCTTCCATTTTATATATAAAGGGTACCTTGTTTAAGCAAATAGCCTATGTCAAAATATAAATGTCATCCTTTCCTTCTTTTGTAAAGTACAGATCAAAAAAAGCCATTGATAAATATACAATATTTCATTTTCCCCTCCTATATTTCAAACTTCTTAATTATAATTACATCATTAATCAAACCTACAAAGTGATTTTATCTAGTTAATATTTCTCTTTCATTGGGAAAAACCTATTAGACCAATATTAAAGTAACCTGATAAATGACAGAATACTATATATAAAATCAAACGTTAGCTTCAGATTAGAGTCATAAATGTCCCCTCATTTCATACTGCTACACTTTTGACCTTTCCAGCTCTTCTCCACCCTGCAGCCAAAGTAAACTTTCTAAACTGTACATCTGATGATCCTGGAGAGAGAGGTCAGCAACACACTGCCATAAAATGTTCCTATTTATCCACCCCAAAAATCAAAGGATTATGCATACATGAACAAAAGCACCCTCATGGGTGTTTTTAGACCCATCACCTTACTCCAAGGAACCTGGGAGGAGTGTCACCCACCAGAGGAGTGAGCCAAACTGCCTAGACCATTCTTGCCCCTACGGGACAAAAACTGGGTGAGTACAGACTGGAATAGCGTCAGAGAGTCTTCCCTAAGGCAGACTCTAGCACACCATTGTAAAGGGCCACCTGAGAGATTGTAAGAGAAACTTTCCTGGCACCACCCCTCTGCCCAATGAAACACTGAAGGGTGCTAATTTATCTGGTGGCAGTGACCTCTCCTGCAGGGGAAAAGGAAAGCAGTGAGTGCCTAATTATGGCAACCAGAGAAAGCCATTCTCTCCCTCAGCACCTGGAGTACTAAGGTGGGAGATCTATAACTGGGGATTGGGAGGAAATTGGGAAAGCAGATAAGAATTTCAAATAGCTATAATGAGGAAACTCAACAAGTTACAAGGAAATTCAGAAAGAATTCAATCAAATCAGGAATTAAAAATACAAAATGAGTTCTTTCCAAATTCTGGAGGAAAAATTCAGTAAATTAGATCCAGAATGTAACAGAGAGCATATACAGAGCACATGAAAGAAAGAATAATTGCATGGAGGATAAGAATTTTGAAATAACACGGAAGAGGGAACTTAAAGTATAGAAAGCCTAAATGAGTGGTGATTATAAAAAAGACAAATATCAGAATAATCAGGATTTCAGAAGAGAGGGAGAAGGGGATGGGAAAGATAATCCATGCAAGTGGAAACTGCAATAGAACATCAAATTTCAGAATATAAATTCAAAGAGGGCTGAGAAATTAAGTGTTCAAGTGAAAATCACTAATTTTCTCTGGGAATGTTTTCACATGCTATGGCAACAATGCGTATTTTAGTGTTTCTTCTGGTAATACTTTCCCCCAAAATATCAACAGATATAATTTATTATACTTATACCAATTACTGCTAACTTTCCTCTTTACAAAATGTGTCAAATATTTTTCTTTGTAGTTTTACTTTATAATTTTGTTGAAATAAATATAACTCTACTAGGAAAAGAAAAAAAAAAAAGCTCCAATTCAAGATAGTGACGTAGGAACCTACAACTCACCTTACACGGACACACTGAATCTATAGCTATCTATGGAACAATTTCCTCTGAAAAAAACCCTAAAACTTGGCAGAGTGAGCTCTTCACATCTGGTAAACAAGGGGAAAACCACATCAAAGTGGGTAGGAAAGGCCGAGACACAATCTCACCCTAAACCCCCACCACGGACCCATAATTGGATGGGGATTCAAAAGTTGGGAGCCTCTCCCTGAGAAGCAAAGTGCTTGATCCCACATTGGGCATCCTAACGTTTAAGACTGGCATCTGAGAGATGAGACTCCAAAACATCTGGCTTTGAAGACCTCCAGGGTTTACACCTACCAGATTGATGGGGCTATGGTAAACTGAAAAATGGCTCTTAAAAGGCTCATGTGCAGATTTACCTGCCCCAAGGCCCAGCACGGAAGCAGTCCTTTGCAGGTGACCAGACTTTATGTGAAACAGACTCATTTGCTAATGTGAAAACATTGGTCTGAGGGGCAGAGGCCTAAGGAGGACTCTGGGGAGAAGGCTGGTGAGTGCCATCTTATTAATCTCAGTTATGCTATAGAGCACCAGGATCTCCTGGAGGAGAGCTTTTATCCATGCCTGGTAATCCAGTTTTTGTGGCTGCAACTCAGAAAACACCCCTTGATCACCTGGCTCTAGAGAATGAGGGGTTCCTGGGTCCCACAGGGCTGTAACAATCTAACACTACCAAACTGCTTCTTCCTCTGCCTGCCACTCCACCTGCTTGTGCTCTGACAAAATCTAAAAACAAAACAAAACGAAAAACCACCACCAACCACCCACATTTAAGGGCTGCTGTAAACCTTTCCTGAGTCCTCAGAGGGCAGGTACTATCTCTCGTGCTCCCTCTGCTGCACTCCAGAAGGTCAGCATCTCTTAGAGGGGAGGTCTTACATGTGTTTGGTGCCCTGATTTTTGTGGCTGCAACCCAAAGGATAACCCCTGATTGCCTGGCTCTTGTAGCATCAGAGTCTGAGTTCCTGAGTCCCCCATAACTATAATAATCAGATAGTCCTTGGTGGGGCACCACCCAGACAGCAGATTGAAACACAGCCCCATTCTGTCAAAAAGGCTGAGTTGCTTGTCCTGGAGCTTCAGCCTTAGGGGCAGGCTTCAGGTTTGGCACCCAGCTAGAGCCTACCGAAGTGCTCTCAGGGAACATAGGCCAGGGGATGCTATCTTTGTGCCTTCTGTCTGCCTCACTACAGCTTGTGGAATCTCCCAGAAAGGAGCTTATAAACTTGCCTGAAGCCCCAGTTTTCACAACTGCCACTCAGACAACACCTCCCGATCACCTGGCTCTGATGGCCAGTGCATCTTATATATAGTTCAGTGGGACCACAAACATATCTGCATTCTTTAAAAGCTACTGCCTTAAGGGTCTGGCTTCTAGTCAGCCTGAGTCTACATGCTGAATGAGGCCCTCCCCTGCTTTGGGTAACTAGTTATTGGAACACCCCAACTACAGGGATCTGTTAGAAATAATATAGGATGCTTGGACAAACACAAAGGATTGAGAGACAACCAAAAGCTAGGGCAGGGTTGAATGTTAAGGTTCATCTCCTGCACAAGGCTAGCCATTCAA